CAAATATATGGAAAAGTGTTCAACATCTTTAGTAATTAGATACATGCAGATCAAAACTACTCTAAGATTTCATCTCACTCCAGTCAGAATGGCAGTTATCAAGAATATAAGCAATAATAAGTGTTGGAGAGGATGTGGGGAAAAAGGTACACTCATGTTGTTGGTGGGACTGCAAATTGGTACAACCACTTTGGAAAGCAGTGTGGGAATTCCTCAGAAAATTTGGAATGGAACCACCATTTGACCCAGCTATCCCACTCCTCAGTTTATATCCAAAGTCACATAGCAACACCAATGTTTATAGCAGCTCAATTCACAATAGCTAAACTGTGGAACCAACCTAGATGCCCATCAATAAATGAATGGATAAAGAAACTGTGGTATGTATACACAATGGAATAATATTCAGCATTAAAAGAGAATAAAATCATGGCATTTTCAGGTAAATGGATGGAGATGGAGAATGTTATGCTAAGTGAAGTAAGCCCATCCCAAAAAACTAAAGGCTGAATGTTTTCTCTGATTAGTGGATGCTGATCTATGATGGGGGGTGTGGAAAGAATGGAGGATCTTTGGATTGGGCAAAGGGGAGGGCAGGGAGAGGTTATAAAGGTAGAAAAAATGGTGGAATGAGATGGACATCATTATCCTAGGTACATGTATGATTGTACAAATGGTGTATCTCTATAACCAGAGAATTGAAATGTTGTGCTCCATTTGTGTATGATAAATTGACATGCATTCTTCTGTCATGTACAACTAAGTAGAACAAATAAAAACTACAAAAAAGTAGGAACAAAGAAAAAAGAAAAACAAAAACCCATTCACTTCTGAGAAGCTTTTCTCGACTCTTCTATTCTCCTGGCTCCCATCAGAATTAGAAATCTGTATCCCCTATAATTCCTATTTTGTGAAATCTGCTATACCTTTTCCTAATTATCAGTGTGTGTGTTGTTATATCCTTAATATCGTATTAAAATCATTTACTTTTTATCTATCTCTTCTATTAAACTGAGCGTTTAATCCATTTTCATCTCAATACCTAGCATAATGCCCAGAATACAGGGATATTTATAAATTTTGTAAGAAAATTTTAAAAATAAAAATAAAAAGGTCTTGGAAAACAATTTTTGTAAGAATGAATGAGAATACTGTCAGACAGCCCAGTATAATATCCTAATCTGTTTGGTAAATTGACATTCATATAAGAGGACAGATTCACCAATTTTAATTTAAAAAAAAGAAGAAAAATAACACAGGGATGAATACAGGTTACATTCAAATCCTCAAAAAGCTGATTAGGAAGTCAGGTCATTGATGAAAAAATAATTTTTATTTGGCCTAAATTGAGTCTCCTATTAATAACATTATATAAGATACCCTATGATAAGTGCAATTAGAAAAAACAGTCTTTGTAACCTGATTACACAAAATTTCCAATATTTTAAAACATAATTGGAACTGATCAATAAGGTGGTAAAAGAAAATCCAGAAGAATTATTTGAAAGTTAAAATGTGAGACAATGTATGCCTGTTAGCCCAGCAATTTAGGAGGCTGAGCCAAGAGGACTGCAAGTTTGAGAACAGCCTGGGAAACATAATGAGATCCTGTCTCAAAATGAAATAAAAAATGGCTAGAAATGTAGCTCAGTGCTTACCTAGTATGTGTGAAGCTCTGGGTCCAACCCCTGGTACTGCAAAAGAAAAAACAATCAATAAATAAAAAGTAAGAAGGAATGTTAGCTCAAAAGAAATTTTCTGTCTATGTAATTTTAAAACCTTCCAATCTCCTTTTTTGGTAGAGAGATAATATCAACACATTGCAGTAGCCAGCCTCCAAGATAACACCTCGAAGATCTGTGCCTTACTGTATTCATTTCCCTTATTTAGTCTCTTCACTTTGTGAGTAGGGTAGTGTCTAATGAGTGACCAATAGAATGCAGTGGAAGTGACATTGTGTGGCTTCTGAGGCTTTGCTACAGGAGGCTTTGCAGCATCTGCTTTGATCTCTTAGAACACCCACTCTTGGAGCCCTGAGTGTGAGATGTGAAGTCCAACTACCCTAAAGCCACCTTGCTGGAGAGATTACATATAAAAAGTCTAAGATTTCATGTATAATAATTCCTGGCCAGTTCCCCAGCCATTTGAGTCATCCAAGCTGAGACTCTGGACATACTGTGGAACTCAGTTAAGTTGTTCCTGCCAAACCCTGCCTAAAATGCAGACTCATGGATAAAATAAATAGCTATTGCTTCAATCTATTAATTTTCGTGTGGTTTGTTATGCAGCAATAGATAGCTGAAATACTCCTCCCTTTCCTTCCTCCTTCACTAGATGTGAATAGTTTCCTTAGATGGGTGCAGAGTGAACAAGGATGTGTCCAGTCATCTCAAGGTTGGAGAATTTTCTAGCCAACTGTATTGGGGTAATTGATTATCTGTGTTATACAGATAAACTGCATAAGGGCTGTTTTCTGATTTTTTTTAAAATTGGGAATGGAACCCAGGACCTCAAAAATGCCTTCCGAGTGCTTTAACACTAAGCTAAACCCTCAGTTCCAGGATTGTCTTCTGAGAAGAAACTATATCACTTCTGTGGTCAAGACACAGGGAACCCTGGACCATCTCTAGAGCTCATGGCCAGGCATAAATCCCAACTTAACAGATAAATACATACACTAAGCTGAACATAAAGTGCAGCATTCTACAGAAAAGAATTGACAAAAAAAAAGTGACCAGAGTATAAACAGCAGTAGGTGTACTAGCAGAAGGAACAACTAAAGTCTGCCTGGACTTTGCAGGATTTGAGCCGTTAGCACATTCCTTTTCAGGACCTGCTCCCCACCCATGTTTGTAATAAGAAACTCATTCCTACATTTGCAGCAATTAGACCAGAGGTACACACCAGTCTATAGACAGTTTATTTTTGACTGGCCAGTAATTTATCTGATTATCTCTTTTGAGAGTCTGAACTAGTATATGAAGAGAGTGTAGCATTCAGTTGGACAGAAAGGCCAGGAGGGATCAAGGCCCGAGAACTATTGGCAGCCTGTATATTTTGATAAGCATGTAGAGAGCTTGTTTGCAAAAAGTAGTGATGTGAATTCATGGGGGGAGAGAAAAAGGGAGGGAGAAAAGAATTTTAAGAGTGAGAGACAGAATGAGAGAACACTAGCCCTAGCTCTGCTTACTGACTTTTTAGTCCCCAGTTTTTAAAATGTAACTTTATTTTATTTTATTTTGGGTTTGGGTGATGATTTGATGGGAATTAACAAAACAGGGACTTTATCTTCAGTTTTATTTAAGGGTCTCTGAAAAGACCACTATTTTATACTGGCTTTGTTTCTGGTTTATCATTAGTGAATATTTCAAAAGAGAGTTTTAGAGTTTGTTTCCCTAAAACTAGTTTTGTCATGCTGTTTGTGCATGAAAAGGAACATTATAACTGTGGGAAGGAAATCCTACGGGCATGAGGCCCAAGCAGATGCTTCTTTACTTATTTATTTCCAATCAATGAAGGAGGAACAAATTTAAGGCAGGAAGGGGCACTAGAAAACACATGCTCTGGATTTGTCCAGTACCTGCTCAATCACTCCTATTATGACCCCATATTTATCCCTTTCTCTCTGGTCCTTTGCTTTCTATGCTGCACTATGGTGGTGATCACAGTTTTAAAATTCTGTAAATACAAAGTGTCTAATGAGAATCTAATCCAAATCATTCTTACATAGGACTTTCATCTCATTCTGAAGATGAAAAAATTGCACTGAGAAAAGACTATTGCCTAAGATATGCAATGTAAATTTGCAGTAATTTCTAATACTTCAGCACTGTACTTTTTCTTCCTGATTGTGCAATAAGGACAGGAAGTGAAAAGGGGAACATTGTTAATGTTCAAGTTAAGTCAGAGGCTCAGTTAGGATACTTACAAGATGTGAATAGGTGGGAAAGTAAAAGATAACCAAATTTGAACCTGAATCAATATGCATTTGATGTCCTATCAAGATGTCAAATACTGTATCTCAGAGAAATCAACTTATTTTTTCTCTTACATAAGCTATACATATGTGTTTTCATAAAATTCTACACAAGTATCATTAATGTTAATAATTGGCATATGTAAATTTTAAAAATCTACTTATGTGTTCATTCAACAAAAAGCTTCATTTATTAGTGTTTTTTTTTTTTTTTTTTTTTGAGATGGGAGTCTTGCTATGTTACCCAGAATGGCCTTGAACTCCTGGGCTCAAGCGTTCTGTTTCAGTCTCTCAAGTACTTGGGATTGCAGACATGCCAGAGCATTTTATTGAGCAAGGAGTTGGACCAGGCTGGAGGATTTAACAGTACATGCTCATTTTAGACATGCCATTTGGTCTTTAATTCATAATTTTAATAGACACCACAATTATTTTTCTGAGTACTTGCACAAGTTTTGAGCAAACGTGAAAGTTTTAAGAAAGCATAGAAGAACGTCGGGGGACTTGTGGAGGAAGGTGCCTAATGGGCGACAGTGGCAAGGCAAACTGTGGGACTAGGGGGAGGGTTAATAAAGGGAGTAAGGACTATGAATTTCAGGGTCTTCCTGTGTGAGCAGAGGTTTCTGTTCTCTCACAACTTGCATCATAAAACAAGTGTAATATTCGACTAGGCATCCATCCCGCGCCTAGAATTTGGACAAAAAGACCCGGATGCCGAGTCCCACCTCCCACCAGCTAAGGGGACCCGCTGAGTTCCATGAGGGGCGGGGCCGAGGGGTGGGGCGGGGCTGGGGGGTGGGACGGGACAGATCTAGGGGAGGGGCCGCTGTGCATTTTCCAGAGCTGGGCGGCTCCGCAGCTGAGGGCTTACGCAGGAGCCAGGCTTGGATTGCTGAGTACGTTGGTCTCTGTTTATAGGCCGCACAGAACTGTTCACGGAGCTTTGATTGGCTCAACAGGCTCTGAGCGGTCATTGGCTACAGTGGGTCGTCAGGGCGACTAAGGGGAAAAGAAGAAGGGGTGTTGGGCCTGGCGGTGAACCGAGGCTGCGGGCAGCTGGGCGGCTCCGCGGGTGGGTGTCCGGAGAGCCGCGGGGCTGGAGTGCCCAGGGTTCACATCACACTCCAGGAGGTGCCCGGGCTAGTTGGTTGGCTGGTGAGACCCGCAGGCCAGGACCATGGGCTGCTTCTTCTCTAAGAGGCGGAAGGCTGAGGAGTCGCGGCCCGAGAGTGAGGAGGAGCAGCCCAAGCAGTACAGCTGGGATCAGCGCGAAAAGGTAATGAAAGTATTTTAGCCCCTGGTCTCAGTCCTTTAGAGCTGCTCGGCAAGTGGCCCTTATAGCCTGGAAAGTCTAGGGAAGCCGACTCAACGATATGGGTAACTGAAGTCAGGGTGCAAGACTTTGAGAGAGCGTCCCAAAGAGCTGAGAAAGGGGCCTTCAAGTTCATTGTCCAGGTAGATACCCTCGGGGGCTTTGCCTGGGTTTTGCTCCCTGACTTGCGCCTACTTCCCGTTGGAGGATAGACTCAGGGAAGGAGCCAAGAATGCGCTCAATCGCAAATCACCTCATTTCACCAGCCGCGCTGAGCGGGGGGTTTGGTCCAATCGTCGAATTACATATGGGACTGATTCTCATCTCTTCGGCGGCTTATGTTCCGTGGCTGTTTCTCTTTTGTCTGCACTCCCTGGCAAATCTCTTTGGTGCCGCATGATATATTCCACTACTGCATTTTCTTAGTTACTAAGTGTACTGTTATAATGTACAGCTTCCCTCTCCCTCCTTTTCCAGTTGGCTGAAAGGGATAATGAAAATCGAAACAGTCTTGAATGCGTGTTAAGACTGTAAAGTGAAAGTAATTGGTATGAACTAGGCAATATTTATTATTGCTTTATGTGAATGAAAACACCCTTATTCTTATTTTGAAGATATCCCCTAGTCTTGCACAAAACACACTTACTCATCCATTTCTTAATGGTTCCTCTTTTTACATAGTTCTTCATTTATGCCTAGTAACTTTGATAGACTTAATTATTCTCTTCCAAACAAAATGAGATTGTCTTTAATGAGTGTAAGAACAGTTAACTCTTACCTAGTGCAACATATCTTTACCCCCAAAATACTTTATAATAAGTTTCTTACTAATGGTTTGATTCAGTCATAAGCCTTCCTGCCCAATCACCAATTCCCAGCAGAATTTAGGCATGTAGATTCTCCAAGTGTTACATTTAATAAATTAGAACCTTTTTTCATAATTCTCAGCCCCATCTTTCTGCCTCTGGTTCTTAGACCCTTCTTGCACCATGTGATACATTTGTTTTCTCTTATTCATACTTCATGGTGGCATTTTATCTTGTATGAAAGCTGTGTTTTCTGTTGTACAAGGAGATTGCACCTATCTTTTTTTCCTTTTCTTTTGGCACTAGGGATTGAACTTGGGTGCTTTATGACTGAGTTACATCTTCAGCCTTTTGTATTTTTTATTTTGAGACAGGGTCTTGTTAAATTGCTTAGGGCCTGGCTAAATTGCTGATGCCAGCTTCAAACTTGTGATCCTTCTACTTCAGCCTCCTGCACTTGGCTAGAATCTGTCTTTTAAAGTTATTTGGTGAGCGCTTTTTGAAAGATTCATTTTCCTCAGATCTAGGATTTCTAACAATGCTCTTTAAACTTGAACTGTCTGCCACAGAGAAAGTTGTGTTTTTTAATTTTTATTTTAGCTTTTTGTTTTGAAATCGTAGGCTAAAACTAAAGTGCTTTAAAAAAATTATAGTAGTATTGTTTGCCTCTGATTCATTGTTTTACAATAAATTGTGTTACAGTTAACCTTTATTGACATTTCATTCAGCTTAATTGGAATCTTTCCAATTAATCCCTCTTTTAGATCAGTGGATGTGTTCTGTGATTTTTCTTCTTTTTGCTCTTTGGCTAAGTAAAAGCATTGGAAATAGATCAGGAAACACCATATGTAGCAAACTGTTACTTATAAACAGGGAACATTTTTTGAGAACATTACTAGATACTACAGCTGTAGAGATATTACTGATATGTATAAATAAGTTCATACTTCTGTATGTGTAATAAAAGTTTAGGGGCTGGGGTTGTAGCTCAGTGGCAGAGCACTTGCCCAGCACATGTGAGATGCTGGGTTCAATCCTCAGCATCACATAAACAAACAAACAAACAAATATATAAAGATATTGTGTCCAACTACAACTACAAAATATTTTTTTTAAAGTTTAAATTTTTATTTTACTTTTTGCAGGGCTGGGGGTCAAACCCAGGGCCTTGTGCATGCTAGGCAAGCACTCTACTACCGAGCTATGTCCCCAGCCCCAATACAAGATCTTTTTTTTTTTTTTCACAATACATAGCAGTTATTTATGTAAATACTTGAAAAAGTCAATGATGGAAAAAATAGGCTTATCATGAGAGTTTATATTCGTTGTATTTAGTTTGCCATTTAAAAAGTGCTGCTTCTAGGTTATCCTAGCAGATATAGAACACTTCAGGACACATGTACCTACTGTAACATACTGTAATAGATACAGTCATTATAGAATGATTTATACTTTGGGAGGAAATTCAACAGTAGTAAGGGTAACTTGTTTATTTAAACTAAAAAAAGTTATAATATACAAATTATTTTTTCTCATTTGATTGAAAGGGCTATAAAATTTCACATACCAACAAAGGAACGCCTCAGTTAATTGCTTTTACCTTATTTCCTCCTTAAAGGAAAGTGTACACTCAGCCATACAATTTTCTAGACTGCACAATGGCTTCAAGGCTGGTCTACCATAAGTGACTGAAAGTAGTTGTGTTGGTAAGCTGACATTGAATAAGTTAAAATCTTGATCAACTCAATTAATCAAGATTTTTCTAACTAAATGAGCATTATATTCCCCAAACAACTCAGTTTGAAAGTCTTTTGGACTATTGAATAAAGAGAAATATTAGCTTACATTTTGAAACAATGGAGACACCACATTTTTAACACTGCTTTTTCTTTCTGGAATTTTTTTTTGTTCTTTTGGAATAACTAGGAATCTCTCTATAGTGCCTCATTTACCATAGTTTTAAGTTTTATAAGATTTTAAATATATTTCTAGTTTATTGCTTGCTGTGAGCTTGATTTGGACTACTGTATAAATGTTCTGTATTAGTCCAATGATGTTTTTACTGACCATGGTCTTGTTTGCTCCTAGATTTTGGGGGAGGGGCTATTGGGGCTTGAACCCAGGGGTACTTAACTACTGAGCCACATCCCCAGCCCTTGTTTATATTTTATTTAAAGACAGAGTCTTGCTGAGTTGCTTAGGGCTTTACTAAGTTGCTGAAGCTGGCTTTGAACTCATGATCCTATTGTCTCAGCCTCCCAAGATGCTGGGATTACAGGACTACACCATCATGCCTTGCTCTTAGAAGAGTTTAATCATACCTTAGAAGGAACAGAATGCAAATACAGCCTAGAGAACATAACTGAGATATACTGCATTATATTAACAGAAATGGTTTGTGTTAAAAGTTTAGGTTTCCATAATGTAAAACAATGGCAAGTATTTACTTTGTTCACAATGTTGCAATTTGTATAAAGCTAAGATGGTTGATTCTGCTATATTTTAATATAGCTTATATGTTTTTAAAGTCATATCAATTGCCATTCAGCTTCTATGATTTTATGTATAAAACCAAAATGAGTTGCCTGAAGTTTCCTTGCAACTTAGAAAGTGGTGTTTAAATTTTCCTTAGGTTGTGTAACCAGAGTGCCTTTATTGAGGGGCACCTTTGGGGTTTTGAGTTGGGTAATTGGGTCAGTCTTCAGAGACTGAAGTAAGAAGAAATTGTCTCAATTAGAAAGAATGTTTGGGGAGTAAGTGTTGTCATGGCAACTGACATACTGTAGTCAACAGTGGAAGAAATTCATTTTCTATTGCTGCTGACTTTGAAAAAAAAGTTTACAGTTACTGCACTGACATGATAAGAAATATATTTGGATTACAATATCTGTACATAAATAATTGGAAAGAAATGTTTTTATCTTTGTTATCCACATGCTATCTTCCAGTTAGGCAAAGTATTCAAAATATGTGTATTCAAACACCAAGGAAGATCCAGAATTATAATACCCATCCAAGCCCTCCAGGAAATTACTTGTTTTTTTTTTTTTTGGGGGAGTTAAGACAGGGAGTATTTAAGTGAAAATCAGGTGAAGATGATACAGAAAATTATTTTTCATTTCCCAGTTATTCATGCCAATATTCCTCCTAAATAATAGGAAGTAAAGATTATGTATCTAAACAATAATGACATAAATTTGAAAACTGTAGTTAGGTATGAACAACATATCTTGTATTTGTTACATTTGATTCATGTTTAATAGAAATAATACTAAACAAAAATTTTTAAATTCAAGTTTCTATTGTGTAACTTTTGTTAAAGCAACCAATTTGTGCACTTCAGGTTCCTCATCTATAAAGTGGGACAGTTATAAATATTTCTCCACTATTTAATATGGCAAAGGCCTGTCCTTTCCCTGTTCCTCCTTTGAACCAGGTTGGCAATCCAAATAATTTTATGCTACAGAACTGTTTAACTGTAGAATCTTTAGCTATTTGATTAATTTCTCCCCATGAACTAGAGAGGTTAGACAGTAATGATCATCTCCAAGGAAAGAACTTGAACAAACTTTAAGCAGATTATAATTTCCAAAGTTATTCATCAGTGGAAAGGGTGGCTTTGTGAGAATTTGACCTCCACATTAGTCAGAATGTTCAGAGGTTAAACCGTAACCTGCTAGAAAGAAGTGTCTGCATTAAATAGGGGGCTAGATGCTATTTTAGCCTTCTTTTAAGTAAGCAAGGTATTCTAGTTATCCATCTCTGCATATCAAACCATCTCTGCATACCTGAAACTTAATATCTTAAAACAATGGCAAGTATTTACTTTGTTTACAATATTGCAATTTGTATAAAGCTAAGATGGTTGATTCTGCTCAGTGTTGAATCAACCGTGGCAGTTTGACTAGGGGCTGAATAATCTACCTTCAGGATGGCTTAACAGCGTAGCTGGCTGGCAAGTTATTGTTGGCTTTCAGCTGGGAGCTCAGCTAGGGCTGAAGGCCAGGCACTCTCCGTGCAGCCTGGGCTTCCTCACAGTATTATGGCTGGGTTCCAAGGGCCAGTGGCCCAAGAGATATTGGCAGAAGCTGCATTATCTTTTTCCAAGTAGCTACTTCTTTTTTAAAAAGAATTTTTTGTGGACTAGATTTCCATTAA